CGTCCCTTCCGCTGGCTGGGCTGCCGCTCACACATGTGAATAGGACAAACGCAGAACCGCGGCTGGGTTTTTATATGAGTGTGTTCTTATATGTGTGAAATATATATATTTTATATATATATTTGTTATGGCCACTCTTCCTTAGGCGGGAGAAAAGGGGAAAGCGTGCTTTGAAAGCGCGCTGGACTCCTGCGCAGGTGCCCCCGGAAGGTATTAGCAGGAGAGGTTGCCGTACAGTAAGATGGCGGCGCGCGCTGGGCACTCGTTCCGCAGGTGAGTGAGGCCACGGCGCGTGCGCTGGGGCCGCCACGGCGGTACGGGCACGGGCGAGGAGGAGGAGGAAGGCGGTAAAGCCGCGTGGGGGCACTGGGGGTGGCTGTGACAGTCATTATCGTTACCTGAGACCGTTGTTCCCGCCGGCGTCGGCGGCTCCTGGGCAAACGGAGCCGTTAGGTTCTGAAAGAACTGTTTTTTTTTTGTTTGTTTGTTTGTTTTGTTTTTCTCTCCCCCTTCTTGTTAAGAGCCGAGAAGGGAAAAATAAACAACGACGGAAAACACACACCCAAACTCTATGTTTCTCTCTAACAGCCACAGAACCGCTTAAGGAACATTGATCACACTGAAAGTCCTAAGGCTCCTGCACCTCAGTTTGCTTCATGGGAGGGCCAAATCGACCAGCTTGTTCTCTTGAAACTGAGAGCCTCCAGAAATACATAAGACAGATAAAAACGTGATTGCTTTGCTCAGCATCATGTGAAAACTGCACGTGTTTTTGCCCCCGCGTCAAGTAATGCTAATTCTAAAACTCTAGTACTAAAATTCTGTGGTACCGTAATATATTCTAACCTGCTAAAGGAGTGATCTTCTAGTAGTTTTATACTGGATAAAATTATGAAAAAATCTATCTGCCATCGAAAAGATGAAGTAAGGATCCCACAGAGCGCAAGGGGGAAAGCGGGTGAAGTTGGAAGTTTCTGCAGAGCTGTTGGCACGTCCTGAACATGTATGGAGATGCCTTCCCCAAGATGGGCCCTGTGGGCCTGAACAGTAGTAATTCTGAACTCTGAAAAAAGAGTCACAACAGGAGGGGTTTGCTCCAGAAAGTGAGCGTGAAGACCTGCTCCACTTTCTGGGAGAGGGTTTTTTTCCCCTTGCTGGAAAGGGCTCCTTACGATGTCCGTGGTGCAGCGGCTGGGAGCAGGGTGGCTCCTGGATCACCTCTCCTTCATCAACCAGTGCGGCTACGAGACGCACGGCTCCCTCGCGCACCCTCCTCATGCTGCTCTCGACACTTGTGCCCCTTCTGTTGGCCGCCTCTGTGCTGCTTCTGCCTGTGCTACCACCTGCACATCGAGAGATGATCCCCCGCCTGGAGACGCTCTGGAACCGGAAGGTAAAAGAGGAAAAACAAGATACGTGTTTCGGGAAGAGTTCTTTGATGTTTTAAAGCCACACATCGTGGCCGCTGCTCCAGAGCGACTCTGCCAAGGTGGCTCTGAGGGGAACCCCATGGACACCAGCGGCAGCGGCATGGAGCAGCGAGAAGGAGCCCAGGGTGACACTGGAGATCTTGATGCCAGCGCGAGGAAGGTATGTTGTCCATAACACTGTGGTCTGCGATGGTATTCCCTGCTAAATAGCCTACCGTTAGCATCACCTTGCTGTTTTTTGTCTTCTGAAGTTGTGTAGGAGAGCGTGATCTTTGCATGAGAAACAGAAACATTTCCATGATAATTTTTAGGATCCACATATATTAGAAGTGTTGACAAGGATGTCCTTATCTTCTTTATGTCACTGTTGTGCATCTTGTGATTCACATGCAGTAGGTTGCTTGCAAACTATTCTGATGTTGCTTGTGGTCATGGGGATTTAAACAACTAAAACTGTGGTAGCTGTCGTGAGTCCATATTAACAGATAGTGTGAGTTTGCTTGCAGTTTGTTCGGTGTTCATGCACTTGCAGTATGTTCATGAGTGTTCAGTATCGTTCCTTATGGACCAACAAAAATCAAGGGTCAGAAGTTTCATCAACAAACATGATTATGAAGACCTGGTTAATGTTCCCTCGTTCGTAATAAACTGCACCCTGCAACTAAACAGGTACCTACTAGTGTGAGCTCAAAGACATGAGAATGATCTGTGGTGTGTGCTAGATACCATGAGATTCCAATGCCTGTGAGCAATGTAAAATAGCTTTGTTAAGCTCTTGTGTCTTCAGAATGCCTAGAGATTTTAAAATAGTGTTTTTTTTCTTAATACCTTTACTTGTGATAGAGACTGACTTTTTTTTTCTAATTTTATGAGTTGATATGTTACTTAAGTAATTTCATATATTTTTTTTTTCTTTCAAGTATCATGGTTTATTTATTTTCCCTGTTTGCTCATTCTGCAGAAACGCAAAAGAAAATGTGCCTTCAACCAAGGTGAAGTGGATGCATTAGAATACCATACAAAGGTGAGTTTGAACGAAGACACATTTTGCAGGTACATAGTACCAGCAGTATATGGAATGCAAGATGTGGTTGCATGTGAGTCCTCTTCCTGTAGCTTGTTCCATTAATCAAATGGTCATCTCTCCAGTCCCCAGATGAAATATTTTATAGGTAGTTAACGTACAAAACAGATGTCAGACTGCAGCTGAGAGATTTCAAAGAGCTGGGAAGTATGTTCACAGGGTGTCTTTAACTATTATGCCTACTGAACATTATATAGTGATGAATTTTGCTTTGAACTAAACAGTGTGAACTTTTAGTGAACAGAGTGAAGGCAGAGTCATCTTTGGCATATCAGGGTACTCTGTTGGGGTTATTCCATACTTCTGTGACCAAAAGTGCTCCATGTCTCACTTCCACTAGCGAGAAAGATATATATATATATATATTTTCACCTGATATTTTACATTTTGATATTTATACAAATTAATCATCACAAATTAATTAGAAAGTGGGTCTCTTTCTAGGCTCATGTTTGTGGTGTACTGGTAGAATTATTATTAGTAAAGCATAATAATATGTCCTTGAACTGTACTCTGCAGAGAATGATTGATGTGTACATACAGCTTTCCTCGGAAGTGATGTGAACTTAAACTAGGACCTACACTTCATTTTTTTTTTTTTCTGTCTGATAGTCATACTTGACTTTTTGTTTAATTCTGTTTCTCATGGACTGTTAGGTAAATAACTCATTTTTGCTTTTTGTTGCATAGCAACAAGCTCATAGTAAACAAGTAATTTGCTGCATTATAGTGTGGGGATCCCGTAATTATTCTTACGTATAAGAGAAGCGTGTGAAGAGTGATAGAACTTTGTAGTTCATCCTTAAGCATCAGATTGAGTGTGCAAATCATGAATCACAGAATCGTAGAACGGTTGAGGTTGGAAGGGACCTCTACAGATATCTATTCCAACCCCGCTGCTCGAACAGGGACACCTAGAGGACGTGGCACAGGGTGGCATCCAGGCAGGTTTGGAAGATCTCCAGGGAAGGAGACTCCACAGCCTCTCTGGGCAGCCTGTTCCAGGGCTCTGTCACCCTCACAGTAAAGTTCTTCCTCACATGGAGATGGAACTTCCTGTGTTTTAATTTATGCCCGTTTTCAATGATTTCAACATTTAGCAAGGATCTTTCTCCGAATCTGCAGATTGAGAATGTGCTTTGATTCATGTCCTGTAGATGTTTGAAAGACCATTTTCTCTTCCTTTGTATCTTTATGCAGATAAGGGAACTAATTTGGGAAGGCACTTTGCATTTAGTCCAGGAAGGACTCAAAAGTGGGTTTCTTCACTGCACTACTACAAAACTCCATTGCAGCAAGAATGTTGTTCCAGGACCCATGGGCTGTGGGTTGGCCGAATTGTGTGAAATGGCAAAGCAGTTTCCAGCTATAAATGACAGTGACCATGAAGCTGTACGAGCAATAGATGACAAAACCTTCATTTTGGAGCAGGATCTGCATTCGTGTGTTATAGAAAACAACTCAAGCTGTGCAAAGATGATTGTGTTAATGGGCCAGAAGTACTTGGTGCCACCAAAAAGCAATTTTCTTTTATCTGATATTTCATGTTTACAGCCACTGCTGAATTGTAAGTATATTTGAATACTCTGCTATATAAGTGTTCTCTGTAGTAGTTGAGTAGCTAAAACTTTATTGTTTTTAGCCAGTAGATTTAATGTATGTTTTGTTTTAAAAATATTTTTTTCTAATTTGCCTTTTCAGGCAAGAAAAAGTATGATGTAATTGTGATGGATCCACCCTGGGAAAATAAATCAGTTAAAAGGAGTAACAGGTAAATTTACTACGAGTTTGTATTATTATACCTTTTAAAACAGAAACCATGCAAACTTTATCCTCTTTACTTACATGGGTATAGTTTAGCTTTTGAGTGTACTGATGCAATCCAAGACCAATATATGTGCAAGACTAACTTAAAATAGTAAATATTTTGGCACTTGCCTATCTTTTCAGTGAAATCCCTGTGACATTTTTATAGACTTAAATGTTTTGGATCTTTTTTATACCTAATATTTGCAGGATTGGATCTTGAATTACCCATCTGGTGAGAGAATGTTAGAGACACTTAAAGGAAAAATCTGGAGTCAGTTCCTGGTCCTGGGGGACCTTCAATACTTGTTTTATATTAGTAGTTACTTTAGTGGCTATAAAGCTCACTAAAGTTAAGTGTAAGTATTTCCAGGCCTGAAGAAAGATTTAGAAGATTGATTTAGAAGTTTTAGGTGTTTTTCAGTCTGATGGGAAGAAGAGGATTTTACTGCTGCATTATCACGTTTCCTCAAGTGTAATAGGAGCTGGTCCTGAGTACTGTGGTTTATGAATTCATTAACTTGAAGTTTTCTGGGCCTCTCCACTGAGGAACATCAAGTTTATGCCAGTAGGGCTCCCTTGACGACAACAAAATCACATCTGTGTGAAAGAAGGGCAAGCAGAAAATGTGGCCATACAACTTTCTGGAATAAATACTGATGTCTCTGATGTCTACGTTTTCTGTACCTATTGAAACATTATGGAAACATAATTCAAAGAAAGAGAGATTAGCTATCAGGTCTTACTTTGAAAGCCCTATGAAAACCTCTAGAAAGTTGGAGGTAAACCCATTGAAGTGTAATTCTTTCCTGTGCAAGTAACTAATGAAAATTTTAGCTATTCACAGGCATAACCCAGACAGCCTGTTCCTTCTTTCCAAAAAAAAAACATGCCTGAAGGTGGCAGAGCTATCACTACCACTGTCCCGTCTTGCTGTTCAGACACTGCTATATCCAAACTCGATCAGATTCACTTGCTAAAACAAAAATCCATTTGTGCTTTCAGCATAGAACTGCAGACAGTTGCTCATTCAGTCAGATACCTCTGCTGACTGTTGGCTTACCTTTTCTCACTTTTTCTCAGATACTAAAAACACTGCAAACTGAGAGAAATGTGTATGTTAGTAAGAAGTCTTAATTTTGTTTATGTTAGAAATATGGCTATGCGATGCAGGAGGTTTTATTTTTTAGTGTATTTTTTTTATTGCTCTGCTTTTTAACCTTCAAAACCAGGGAGAATATCCCTCTTACCCTGCATTTTTGCAAGTATAATTCCACAGGTACCCAAGTATCTGATGCTGCACATGCTAAGCCTCAAGTCTGTGTAGCACTAGACAAGGAACCACCTTGTTCATGGATATGTATATATATTTTTCCCCCTCCATAACCCAGATGTGAAGCACTTGTTTTCTCTAGGATCTAGTCCAGGAAGTATTTCTGGGTTTTATCTACACTCCTTATTTTTGTTACTGTTCTCATTACTGTGTTGTACGGGGATCCTTGGTACCCAGATGATGGGTTGTGGATTCCAGCAGGCCATGTGTCACTGTCTGCTGATGCTGCAGTGTGCCTAGGTTCCCCACATCACTGGCTCACTAATAATGTAGAGCAGAAGAACAGGAGAAAATGGTAGAGCAGGACAGAATCCAGAAAAAATACTGTAGTCCCCACCATAGAACAGAGTTAACCCAAAAGTATGGGGAATTGTTCTGAATAACCCAGAGAAGCTTGACAGTGAGTGGTAACTTCAAATCCTGAGTGAGTTTTGCATTCAGCTTGAGAAATGATTACTCTTTTATGATCTTTTAGCTCAGCAGTCAAATTAGTGTTGCACTTGTAAATGGCTCCCCTGTCATTTTCACTCGGAGGAGAGATTATGTATTATGAAAAGTGAATAAGGTTATGTGGACTCCAGTAAAAAGAGCTACTTCAATTAAGTAGCTTTGTTATGGCACAAGGTGAAAGTTTTGAATTACAAATGATAGCTCTTAAGTTAAATATGGTCTTTTAGGTTTCTTCACAATCAGAATTTCCGCCAAAAAATTATTTGCAGAAATGGAAGAGAAATATGTAGATAGAGATTCTGCTCAGCAGCATACACCTGTGATTTTTATCTCGGCATCCAGCAGATTTAGCCACTAGGTGGCATCCTGTACCCATCATTGCAGTATCTTTATGCTGTTGGGAGGTATCTCTCGAGGTGGCCCAGACATGTAATTTCTTTATCTCTTTTTATCATACATCAATAACATAAACATGGCAGAAAATAATAATTTGCTTTCTCTCTGTTTCGTCACATAGATATGGCTACCTGTCTTCCTGGCAAATCAAGCAAATTCCTGTGTCATCACTAGCTGCTCCAAATTGTCTGGTAGTCACATGGGTGACTAATAGACAGAAGCACTTAAGGTTTGTTAAGGATGAACTTTATCCTCATTGGTCTGTGAAAACACTTGCTGAGTGGCACTGGGTAAAAGTAAGTTCCCAACTGCTTTTGTTGCTTTCTTGGGGACTAAGGAATGGAAAAAAAAATCTAATTGAAAAAGAGATGTGAGAATTTTCCCCTGTGTATTTTTTACTCCTTTGTGTTAGATTACCAGATCTGGAGAATTTGTATTTCCTTTGGATTCTTCCCACAAAAAGCCCTATGAAGTTCTTGTATTGGGGAGAGTTCAAGGAAGAGTAGAGGAAGCCTTAAGGTATGGCAGACTATTATGGTAAATATATTTTTGGGGAGGTTGCTATAATTCTCTTTGTATGTGTCACTGGTGTAATGGTGTAATACTGTGTAATGCCTCATGATCTCGATGTCACCTTCTGGTTGATTTTTTTTTTTTTTTTAAGCTGGAAAGTGCTGCTACTATTGGGATGAGGAAAACTCTCTAGTGAGATTAAAGGATGGAAATAGGTTTTGCCGTTTGTCCTTACATCTGCCTGTGTTGGGGGACTGGCTCACATAAAGGGCAAATAGGCAGAGCCTCTTTTGTTGGCAGGTTCTGTCAGACCATGAGTCCCTCACACAAGTTGAAGACTTTTTGGGGCTGTTGGTGCTTTTCTGCAGGTGAAATCCAACAGGCATGTGTTGACTGTTTTTTCATCTCTTCACGTGTTTATTATTAGCCTTGTTTCCTTTAAAGCCTCAGTATTTCATAAACTGTCCTTTTAGTCAAACAAATACTTCGAACATTATAGCTGAGCAACTTTAACTTTTGTCAGACTTATCTGAAGTTTGGCTGTGAATGAGCATTCTGTAGTTTATCTCCTATCTGAACTAGCTCCATGAAAGCTTCAGACTGCCTTACATTTTGTGCTCTTCATTCTCACATTAATCTTGTTCTGGCTTATACAGCAGGAAATCTGAAGAGGTACTTCCAATTCCAGACCATAAGTTAATTGTCAGCGTGCCCTGCAGTCTGCATTCACATAAGCCCCCTCTTACTGGTATGTTTTTGATAATGCTAAAGTCTAATGTTTCTGTAGAACATTATACTTGGATATCTGAAATGAAGTATCTAGAATCAGGAATCAGTTACTTTCCGCATGCCAAGCACTTTTGCTCAGTTAGACTTGTTGATTCTCAACATTTCTAAAAATGTCAGACACCTTAATCTTTATCTCAGAAAATGAGTATAAAAAGTAGAAATTTACTGTATGAATTCTTGTGTGAATGCTTGGATAGGTAGGTAAAAAAAGTTGCTTTTTTTTTTTTAATATTTGGGAACTTGCAGGAATGATTATAAATCTGTATGTAGGAAGGTATCCCAAATGACTTGAAGTTCTTTCTTGGGAAATATGTCTTTGGGGTGATATAAAATTATTTCTGCATGAGTTGCTTATACACTTGCAGTACAGATGAAATCCAAATAATTAATACTTATTTTGCTAACAATTTGCAGGAAATAAAACATACCTAATTAATTTCCCAGAAGCCTTATTTATTTTACTGGAATCAATGCGGTGACTTCAACCAACTAGTTAGAATGAGTATGAATAATTGCAGCTTTTCCTAGGGTGTAGTCCAAAGGATTTGAAAGTTTTTGTATTATGCATTTCTACATGCCCATTGTTCTGGAGAAAATCTACTTTTGGCTACTTTTCTCAACGGGTAGTCCTACTTTTATCATCATAGTACCTGAGTTCCTTACAATGATAAAGCAAGCAGTGTGTTTAATACTTGTCATAAGTGTTTTCCATCCTCCAAGGGAAGAATTTTCCCCCCCAAGGGGAAAAGTCTCAGCAGATCTACAGATATTCCAGATGCGTGTGGTGCTATGTATTTATGTCAGAGAAAGCAGGTAGAAGAAATGTACACTGCTGTTAGAGGAAGGCAATTGTAGCCTGTGGCTGACCCTGGGTATGTTCCTTTTGTCGCACTGACAGGCTTTCCTTAGCCTGTTCCCAAATAACAGACATCAGTTAGGATGCTAGTTTTAACAGTTGTTTTAATACTTCCAGGAAGGGTTTAAAACTTGCATTTTGGGCTTCCACATGTATACCTATTCCAAGACTAGTAATAGGCGTATATTTTATTAAGTAAAAAGAAAAAGAACAGTTGCAGGAGGATCTGCCTGCTGTTCTGTTGCTACATCTTTAAGAATTAGGTTGAGTGCAGGATTTGTGTTGATTTAAACTAAGGGTAGGATAGTGATTTGTGAGGCAGCCATGGAGGGCTTATTCAGAAAACCAGTGCTTAGAAATACACTTGGACACAAACAGGAAACTTGTGAGATATCCAAGGGTGAAGCACAAGACCTTGTGTGTTAGAGAGCTAGTGCCAGAATGGTCCTTGGGGTACCGAATCTAGAAACTGTATTGATATGTCCCTTATAAATCATATCCCTGAATGAGTTTGGAATAAATGTTATGCTGCTTTTTATATATGTATTTCTTGAGTCTGCACTTAAATGCCAGGATTTGATATCATTGTGCAGTATTTCTAATGAGTAAACTTACTATTGAACTGTTTCAGTGATCTTTCACATAAAAAAAAAAAGAGTGTTCATCTACATTATTGACAGCTTCATTCAGAATAGGATCATGGAAGGAAATCTGGACTATAAAACAAAACCTAGACTCCTGACTTCAGTATTGTGAAGGGTATTACTTTAATGATCAATATTCTTGGCCGCTAGAGAGCAGCTGAGCTACGTCCTAGTGTGGTTCAGAAGAAATTTGAACAGAATCCGAGGTTTGGCAATGAGGGAGAAGGACACTTGATGAGTCACACATGTTCTTTATGCTTTGTTTAAGTAGTAACAAAACCAAAAATATTAGTATTTACTGATGCTGCCTGGCACTTTATTTCTTGTTACTGCTATAAAATCTGTATGTTGGTACATATGCAGCCACTTAATGACTGGATATAATAGTTTATCTCTCTCAGGGAAGAGGAAGATGCAAATTAAAGCAAGCCATCAAAAAGGGACATTTGGGTTCCTGCAGTGCATTTAACTATGAAATTGCGACTGTAGGGGTTTTTGATGCATGTGCTGTGTTTAATGCTTAGAGCTTTAATATGTCGTTGTAAATGTATTTAAACTGCTTTATGCAAATGCATTAAAATGAAATTTTATCACTCATGGGCTTGATTCAAATAACAGCAGGTTTTCTTCCTAATTCAATTCAGCGATGCTGTTAGAAAACCTGGAAGGTATTCTGCACCATAGACATGAAGCAATATTGAACTTCAAATGTCTCTTCCCCCCTTCTGCCTAATAGATTTGTCTTGTTATAGCTGTCTCTCCTCCAATATTTAATGCATTTATTGCTAGAAGTAATATGTCCATGTAGAAGTATGTCCAAAAACCTTGGGCTCAATTCTAGGACATGTTCTAGCCCCTTTATGTTTTCCAGTGAAAGAGTACAGTGGGAAACAGTGGTTAAACCCGCTATGGGAAGTCCAAACCATATTAGGCTGTGTAATAAAGATTTCCTGGATGTAAAATGTATTTTGTTTTTCTTATATACCTTGTAATCTTCTACTATTAGAATTATCCATGAGAGTACTGACTTGAAGCTCAGGAAAGATGCAAAGGTGCTAAACCAGTTATTTTGCCTGAGCTGCTGCTGCCTTCCCCTCCCCGTCTTACTCCAAACAGTCATTAGAGAAACTGGGTAATAAGGGCCTCCACATTGCACTCTTTGGAAGGTGTACTACGAAATGTTCTCCCTTGCATGGCTCACAAATCGGACAACAAAAACCCACAAAGTAATTTTCACTTTATATGCTCACTTCGCTGTTCAGAACTTGCTGTGTAGGTAACAGAAGTTCAAAAGCTAAGGTGAAGCAGTTGCTTGTCTCAAAAATAGTTCCTTCCTTTACTTTTTAGAACATTTTTAACAGCATGCATCTAAGATGCATGTTTGGGATGCAGCAGGTATCCTGCCTGACCTCCTGTCTGCATCCCAGGAGGAAGTGGGTTTCCCAGAAGACCCGTGTAGTGTCCCTCGGAGCTTGCTGCCTTTGTGTATCCTAGGGCATCAGACACCTAGATGTCTGAGTTGCCCTCTGAGGGTTTATAACACCCGCAAGTGATCATGAATAATATGTTTAAACTGTTTATCGTTAGCTTTATCAGTAAATGAAAGGAAATAATTGTAAATAAATAACAAGAACAAAAAATACTATCCCTATTGTAGAAAAATGAGTATTTAATTTTTCTACTGATGCAAGTCCTCTCACTTGTTGTCAGGGGAGAAACTGCAGAGTTTGCTTAAGGGCTTCAAGTCAGATTCTTGTGTGTATTCAGATAGCCTTTTGATGATATAAAAGCCATAAAAAACCCTAGCAAAAAGGCTATAATTTATAACTTTAAATAGGAGAAGTTGATGTTCAAGGAAACCAATATAATGAGATTTTGTGCCAACAAAATATTGTCACATTATTGCCCTCTTGATATGCTAATTTCCATTGCAGTGAAAGTTACTGCCTGATGTGATTATGTAAATACCCATATCCAAGCAATGAAAAATCATACTCTAATGTTATCTTAAATTATATGTAATCTGGCTCTGTTTCTTCAAAAGGCTTGTGCTGAATTACTGTCTCTCTGGGAGTAGGAGAGAGGGAGATTCCCAGGACTTCCTATTTAAATTCTATGACAAAATCGATTCAAAAATTGGCACAATCTTGTTTCTTGCTGAAATAGCCTATTTCTTGGCTACGTCTTTTGTTTTCTGGCCAAGCAATCTTTAGCCAGATTCTCTTTGAGAATAATTTCTCCCTGTTGTTGAGTCAACTACGGAGTGGTTTGTTGTTTGTTTTTAAATTTTCTCTCAGATGTGGAAGTGTTTGTGTTTAGTAGTAACTATGTTTGATTACCATACTACATATTGAGATGATATTTTTAATCTCTACATTTTCAGAATATATATTGACATTTATGTGCTTTTAATGAAACTTTCATGATTAAATGATTACTTCTTCCCCTGGATGCAGATATAACACATAAGATGATTCAATTTTTATATAGAAGGAAGAAGGTCACGTAAATACCTGCAGATAGCTCTGCATGGTCTTATGGCCACTTAGGTCAATAGAATACCTTAAGGATTTCAGGGTCTGCTCACAGAGAGCTTACTGAAAGCTTTGGAGCTTCGCATTCTGCAATATTTCTCTCCTGTTTTGTGGAAAAAAGTACATCCTCCTGCAACATTTTTTTTTTTGAATCAAAGAATGGTTGAGGTTGGAAGAGACCTCTAGCGATCATCTAGTCCAACCCCCTGGACCTGAGTGGCATCCAGGCAGGTTTGGAAGATCTCTGGAGAAGGAGGCTCCACAGCCTCTTTGGGCAGCCTGTTCCTAAAGCCTTTGTCACCCTCACAGTGAAGTTCTTCCTCATCTGGAGATGAAACTTCTTCTGTTTCAATTTGTACCCATTACCCTTTTTTCTGTTGCTGGCCACCACCAAGAAGAGTTTAGCCCCATTCTCCCCTCAGGTATTTGTACATGCTAAGATCCCCTCTCAGTCTTCTCTAAGCTAAGCAGGCCCAGGTCGCTTAGTCTTTCCTCATAAGATAGATATTCCAGTCCTTTAATCACCTTTGTTGCTCTGTGCTGAACCCTCTCTAGAAGTTCCCCATCCCTCTTGTACTGGGGAGCCCAGACCTGCACCCAATACTCCAGGTGCTGCCTCGCCAGAGCTGAGCAGAGGGGGAGAATCACCTTCCTTGACCTACTGCCAGCGCTCCTCCTGATGCAGGCCAGGATTCCATGGGCCTTCTTGGCCACGAGGGCACATTGCTGACTCATGGTTAGCTTGTTGTCAACCAGGACTCCCAAATCGCTCTCCATGGAGCTGCTTTCCAGCAGGTCAACCTGTCCTGGCGCCTGGGGTTATTCCTCCCCAGGTGCAGGACCCTGCACTTATCCTTGTTCAGCCTCATGAGTTTCCTCTCTCCCCAACTTTCCATCCTGTCTAGGGAATAGTTTTTTTTTTTTTTTTTGGAAGACCTTTGTTAGAATGTTGGTAGCAAGTTGTGCCTCAGCAATTCTTAATGAAATAGAGCTCTGAAAAAGAACAATGCATTATTTTTTGGTTATGGTGGGTTTTCAAAATGTTACAAAAGCAGGACAAGTGGTATCTAATTAGGTGGACTCTGACACCAAACAGCAGTGTAGTGATGTGTTACAAGTCTTCCATCAGAAGGTATGCTTTGCTTGACATCTACAAGACTCTTCCTTGTAAATGTTGGATTTGTTTAAATGTTTTAGCTTGCCCCTAAAAGTAACAGGCTTTTCAAATAAGTTTCCTGCTGGCTGCAGTATTCTCTGGATTAAAGCTGCCTTGGTGATAACCCATCTGTGCCATTTTCTTGACATTTGTTAAAAATTGGAGGAGGAAAATAGTTCATTTGCTGTATCAAAATATAAGAAAGTCTGGAAACACCCATTGCAAAATATTTGAGAATAAATTTTGAATGGGTTGAAGCTTTTAAGGAAGCAGTGGTATAGGTAGGAAATGCATCTGTGGTGGGCTGCCACCTATGAGAATGAGAATTGGATGCTCCTATTTCTGCAGCAGGAACAATCTATGACTTGAGCAACTGAGATCTAACGAAGGGATTCTGTGACTGACAAACCTGATGCAAAAAGTCAAGCTTGGATTACACTGCCCCTAAAAAGCCATGCTGTCTTATGCTCTGATGTGTGTTGATTAGATGTATTTCTGAAAAGATCAAGTTTGAAGGGACCAGCTTGAGTGATATAATACTGGATTTATGTAATTTGAGCTACAGAAATGCAGAAACTTCTCAGAAATTTGTGGAAAAAATGAATAAGTTTTCCTTTGGAAAAGGAGAGTGATTTCTTGGGTTTTGTTCTTTGACAACCGCAGAATCCACCCCTTGTATTCCATGTACCTTTTATAGATATGTTTCTCAGATTTTCCTACTCTGTTATCTTGCTATATTCCTTAAACCTTTGCTTTACTGTTTTGCTTTGTTTTATTTTAATATATATAATATTTTTATAGCTTTTTCCTGAGACCTTGATAAGAATTTCTCTGATTCACCCACAAGCTAAATGGATCTGTATGACAAGTAACCTATTTAACAGTAACTGTATTTGCAATAGTATTTCTCAGGTGAAATGCAATAACCAAGGTCTTTTTTTCTCACTCCCAGAATACTAGTCATAGTCAGTAACACAATTGATGTTAATGATAGGTTTCTATTTATTATTATTTTAGATTTAAGCAGTATAAATGCCCAATTATAAAAAAATTGAGATTTACATTACTGAATTAAAGAACACAGTTATAGAGATATTTATTCAGTTGCCAAGTTGGTGACAGGGATAGTCCCTTCATTTTTATAGCCCTTTGAGAACTATGCTCATTTAAACTGGTATTTCTTATTTTACCTTTAACAGTTATCATCATTAAATACTTTAATCAAAGCAGGATTTTTTATTTATTTGTGTTTTTTTTTTAATCTGTTTTTACTTTTTAGAATTGTTGTCCCCATGTTGTAGGAGCTGAGTCAAGTCTTTGGGAGATGTGTGCTTGGTAACAGTGAAAAATTCAGAAGTCATCTATGTAGATACTGAAATAAATCCTCATTCCTTTTCTCTAAATGAAAAACGATAAATCAAGGCTATTGAAGGCCTTGACAGTATTGTTCAAAATCTCAAGGGCACGTATTTCAAATGACTTTCTGACTATAAATAGTCGAGCTGGTTGATGAAAATCCTGAAATTAATTTGCTGTCTCTCCCTTTTTTAATGAAACATTCCCTTTTTTTTCATCTGCTAACAACACAGGGGAGATTGTTTTTCATTTGCTTATTGTTGTTTTTATTTGTACCTTTTTCATTGTTATCCTCATCCTTTTTTCTTCTCTTGCACAGAGGTTCTGGCAGAATTTGTCAAGCCAGGTGCAGAATGTCTGGAGTTGTTTGCCCGCAACCTTCAGCCTGGCTGGACCAGCTGGGGGAATGAAGTTCTGAAGTTTCAGCACATTGATTATTTCACTGTTATGCAGGATGAAAACTGATTTAGGGCTTTCAGCTTAACTCACAAATTTCCTTCCTTCCCAGCAGGCTCTAGAACTTGCTTTTATTACTGATAGGGCACTTGGAAGGTAAAAAAAAAAAAAAAAAAAAAATGAAACCATTTGCATTTCAGTTAAAATTCTTGAAGTGACAGAATATTTATAGTATCTGCATTTGTTCCTTTATTCTGACCTTAGTAAAATAGCTAATTACTAATGTTAGAGTGCAAGGTGATCCCTGATTTCTTTCCCAAACTTCTGGGAAAAGCAAAAACAAAACTATTTTTTATATTCTTTTTGCAGCTGACACAAATCTGAGCATCATAAGCGCTCCAGTATCATACTTGGATGGTAATGCATTATTTTTAAAGAGTGACAGGAGAAGTAAATAGTTCTAAATTGGATATGTTTCCCCAAAGAAGGTTGGTGTTTGCAAAGAAATGGATTTTCAGCAAAAATAATTGTAAAGACAGCATATCCTCCTACATGTTTGTATCTGTTTGTCTACCTCTGAAGAAATAACAGGAGCCGTGCTTGTGTTAATTGGCACATGAATTGTTGGCTGAGCACATTTTATATAAAATTACACTTTTAAAGCAATCAGCAATTCAGTTTTTCTGTGTATGAAGTTAAACTCTCAGCATCTTATAAATTCTACATTTTAAACCATTATCTTTAACTGAAATTTTAACAGAATTTAAATATAATTTCTGTTTCATTATGTTCCTGAAAAACTAAGTTATGCAAGTGAGTCCTATGTTTTAGCTCACTTTTTTTTTTAAGATGCATTTTATATTTTCTTTGCTGTTCTTAAATTTGTTTTGAGACTTGGGAAGCTCTGCCTCCTTTTCATTTGCAGCCATAGAGCCAGAACTGGTGAACAAGCTGGCTTTTCCTGGTGGCAATCTCTTGAGCTGTTAAAACAACCGTTTATAATGGGGAACAAAATGCATTGTATGCTTTTTAAAATTCCATTCACTTTTGGTAGTAATGGGCTATTAAAGTTTTATTTAAAACTTTATATGTTAGTAAATAATCTTCTATAATAAATTTTATAATTAAAATTAAGATTAAAACTTGTCAGTGTCTTATTTAGAGACCGACTCTTTGTACTATTGTTCAATTCACTGTTTTGCTTATGGGAGCATTATGGAGATTTTAAAAAAATTAATCTAAAAAAGAAAATATTGTTATAGAGAGGGTTGTTGCCAGGCAAAATATTTCTTTGTGTATAATTTGTAGCCTACGTAGTTAACAAGTGTATGAGTGCAGTCTCCCAATACATGGTACATAAGCCACTGCAACTCCATATATAAAGGGAAATGAGATTCTCTTTTTGCTTTTAGAAGATAGTTGCTATGTAGAGCTTCTGAGTTCCCATGTAGCATTTACCTCCCCTCCCAAAGATGTTTCACCCAGTACTAAATAAAGTTTATCAGAATCAAGAATGTCGTCGAATCTTCACTGCTGTGCGTGTGTTGGTTTTTTCTTTTGTGCTCTTTACAATAGCACAAGAAATTAAGATGCCTCTTTTCTACAGCCACTCGTATGAATGTCTCTTTGTTATCTTTTAATTACAAAAGAAGGATGTGAGCCAATTTAGAGAACCCTCTCCCCCACGTTGAGCTAACCAGCAGAATCTTTCCAAGGGAATGATCCTCATCAAGGCATTCAAGAATGACCTGTTTATTCTCTCTTGTCAGTTGAGTCTCTGCAAGCTGTAGACTTCTTTCCCTTCTGAGCTGTGGTGCTCAGGAGCTCAGCTGCCAATGCCTGCAGCTGGGACGCCCGCCCGAGTGTGGCTCGGGGCGGCCATCTTCTCCACTAGAAGGCCCGTGCAGTCATGGTCTCAGCTTGTCAAATTGGAGATCAAAAGTTGAAGATTAAGGTCTAAATAATACCTGATCAGGCCTAATATAGTTACAGAATTGTGTTCTGTATGTATATATATATTTTCTGCTACTTCTCAAACACTCTGGTGATAAAATCCTGTGACTATGGTAGAAGTGTAGTTTGCCACCATTTGCAACCAAATGGAAATTGTAGGGTTTTTTTCAGGAGAAGGTTCAATATTCCCAGTGCATTGCTAATTCAGAAATCTCATGTTAGTATTAACAGCTGATAATTTCTAGGTCCTCTTTTAAATGCCAATATTGACTTGTTATGCTTGATTCATTATTTAAAGAGCCTCTTATGTTTTCTAATCAGTCAGAAAATCCCTGGTGTTCCCAACCAGCCATCCAATCTTTCAGTGCCAGTTCTAGGAATCCTCTAAGGCAGAATCTGAACTGTGCTGAGTAAAGATAACCAATTTAACAGGACAATTTTTATTTTTTCTGATTTTTTTTTGTGTTGGTGTGTGAAAATTGACAGACACCAAGGAAAAATGGTCGAAGTGCATTTTACTATCAGTACATTGGCAAAGCAGAATTGTTTTTCAGTTCTGATTGCCTTTTATTGGTGCAATTTGGTGTAAAGAGAACAGGAGTTGCTCAAGAATTTTTAGAAAGTACTTTATTAGTACATCTGCTTATTATTTATTATTTTAATAGAAGGATGATAAAGTCCTTTGTCTAAACTTTCTCCTCTCCTTTAGGGTGATTTAAAATTATGTCTTACTCCCCTCCCCTCAAAAAAAAAACTTACTACATAAAGCAATAAGAAGTAATTTTGAGCTGTTTCTGTATGTAGAATACATCAAGTGTCATAATCAAACTTATTTTTATGAAGCTTCAGTCTTGAGTATGATTTTGAAATGTCAAATTAGCATATGACCTTTACTTGTACTTTTAAACTTTTATAAAGAAAAAAGAATTATAGCAGCAAGATATGTTTTTTGGAATAGTGATTGCTAGGTGTGAACTCCTGTGGAAACAGGAAAGTTTCTTTTGAAAGCTGAAGTGTTATTAGAAAGTGAAGTACTAGTCTGAGCTGGTCTTATTTCTGTAATGTTCAGCCCTGATGTCAGGAGCAGTAAGAGTTGACTAAAAGCTGTATTCCAAACTATTTAGACAAATAGAAAATAATGAGGAAAATGCTAACACTCAGTGTGATGGAAATCTTCTTACACAGAGATCTGCGTTACTGTAGTTCAATCAAAGATGCTACTTACAGCTAAAAAGGCAGCGTGGGTGTTCCAAGTGAAATGGCAGTCACCTGAGAAGAGCACAAATGCTGCTGTGCCTGTGGCTCCGCCGCCAAGGGAGCTGACGTGTTGTCTGAGCAGTGGTCATCGGGTGCCTTGACTAGCAACCGAAGAGCTGCTCTGATAATCCATGTGGTGTAAAAATTTGCCTGGAGACTGCACGATAGATCTTTCCTAATGGAGTATTTTTTGAAAACCCTAGGATTGAAAGTGTGGTAAGTAAGCAGCGATGCAACTGCCAAGATGGCAAGATTCCTATGGCCCTGGCCACACCAGGACAGCACAGGAAGCACATAAATAGTTGGGCAAGTGGATGATTCCCTTGATAGAAGGGAAGAGAGCTGCCCAGGCTTGCTCTGATTCCTCTTAGCATCGCTAACAGCCACAAAGGCAGCTCTAACTAGGCTGAGACATTGTTCATAAGGGTCACCTTGCTGGGCTTCCAGCTTTGAAGCCGAGGCTACCACTTGGACTGTCTAGGGAATGAGGACTTCCAAGCTTTCAGACTTGCTCTGTTGGGACAGAAGGACAAAACAGGTGGGCTTTCCAGGCTTCCCATCTTGGAAGTGCTCTGACTCCCACGCTGCAGGTAGCCCTCCTCAGAGGGGGCTTTCAGGTTTAAGGGTCTCCCAACAATCCTGTAAGAAGATAGTTTGGGATTCACAGATGATTCTAGGGTCTTGGCTCTGAATCCCAACTTTGTTTTCTTAAGAAATGTGTCATTTCCTGTGTTTTCACTGTGATAAGAAAATTCAAAAAAACTGCTGCTCATTTCAGAATAATAACTTACCTTAGAAGTTTGCTATTTGCTGCAGACAAAATGAAATAAAAATCTGAGTTTCCCTAAGCCCTAGTTATTGTTGGTGTCCTCTATTCCTTTCTCCTTTTCCATCTTCAGTGTCTCAGCTGCTTGGCTTCAATCAAGCATCCATTTACACATCAGTGACTGTTTTGTTAAATCAGTCTCATATTTTTTCTTGGAATTTTCTCAAGATTTCATGTAGCTGTTCAGAAGGCTGGTCTGTGAAAGGGTGCATTTGGGGAAAACCCAATGCATCTTTTTATTTACATATTTCCCTGCATGGATATGTACTAGAATAGTTTTTTTTAAAAAAGTTTATTTATTGAAGGATAGACTCTCCAACTCTCAAAGGAAAGGCCCGTGACTCTCAAGAGTTTCTTTCCAGAATATCCAGTTTTGTTAGAGGATTGATCCTGCCCAAAGGATAATTCATGGCAAGTTAAATATCTGTGTGTATTTGGAGGCTCAGTATCCTAGAGTGTGAATTCCTCTGGGCTCAGTTTCTTAAGCTGTAGCTCTACATGTGCTTTTCCAGCAGCAGTGTTAGATGAAGCTCCCTACATCTAAGTATAGGCTGCTTTTTTATCAGATCAGCTCGCGTATTCATGTTTAAATACTACTAATAAAAATGCTATGAAGGCGAAGTAAGTTCTTTCTTGCCTGCAGTTTTTCAATGTGTCTTCTTTTGTCCCCTCTGCTAGCTAAAATAAGTTAAAAATAAAACAAAGAGTATTGATCATCATTAGCACTAATATTGGCCACTTTCATTCATTTTTTCTTTTCCTTTGTAACCAAATTTCCTTCTGATGGAGACGAAGTGCAGACATTCTCATTTTCCTTCTAATAGTACCTTTATTTGCCTCAGATTAAACCACATGGAACTGTCAGTTCAGGACCAGTGGGATATTCCTCACTTTTTATGCAAAAGAATTTTCGCTTGTCTTAGATCCTTCCTTCCTTCCTTCCTTGAGCTTTTTTTTTTTTTTAAATTAATGTGGAAGGGATGTAAAAGGGAAATAACAGACAAAGTAGAAGCCAGTGCCCTAAATGTAGTGGAATAATGAAAGGAGAATCGTGCCATTTCATATTCTGATTTACACCTAGAATCACTGC